TATCAGCATATACCCAAATTTATATTATACCAAAGTATCTGTTGTATATTTCTTTTATCTAAATTACCACTAGAGAGCTCTACTTTTAATGGAAATGACCCTGGATATGTATTGCAAGATAACATCGATCTAGAAATTGTGCTTGTGTGTGCTTTATACAACTCCACAAGAATTTTCGTTTCGTTTCATTTCGTTGTTATTGTTGTTGGTGTTTTTTTTCCTTATCAAGAGTTTCGATCTCTCGTCGCTTATACAATTTCTGCTTGCCGCTCTTATCTCGATATTTTTATCGAAAAAACGAGAAATAAATGAGAATTTTTCATTTTGAGATTGAAATGAATTGATAAAATGCGATTCTGAGTATTTTTGTGTGGCTTATCTTTACGAAAAAATCAATTTTAGTATAAATTTAGTATTCTTGCTGAGTGTAAGGCGTAGATCAAATTCAAATGAATTTTTTTAACAAAATTAAATAAAGTAAATAGACTTTGGAAAAACAGGATTTTTAAATTCGCTTTGGCAATAAAACAAAATAAAAAGGTATGAAAATCTTTGAAAGCAAAATAAAAAGGACACTAAGTGACTTTAAAATTTTAATATTGGTTCAATAAAAAATTAAAATACATATTTAGTTTAAAGATTTTGACTAAAGTACCTGAATCATTTAAAATTGTTCAATTTTAATTATCAATTTATCAATTTAAATTTTTCAAAAAAAAAACAGCAACTGTTCACTCTTCACCAAAGGTTTTGAATGCCTCTGAATACAGTTTAGGTACTTGTGGTTTCTGAGCAAAGTGGAATCTAGTGTATCGAGCCATATACATATTGGCGAATCTACCAGTGCGAGGTTTACACCTCTTGGACGTAAGTGGTTATAAAACATTAGTTCATGAATTAAAAAAAAATTATTTATTGTATTAAGTTTTATATATGAACGGAAAAGCGTTTTAAAGTTTGGATATGAAAATTACAACCTTACTTTCTTTGTATTCATTCTCTTAATTCTTAATCTCATGTGCTGGTGTGTGAGATAAGATTTCTTCAAAAAATTTATTCGAATTCTTTCTGGCGTTAAGTAAGAAAAATGTTCCTTATCAGTTCCATTAAGAGAGAGCGGGGGAATGAGATGAACGATTTTCTTTTGAGTCCAACAACCCATCAAGACTGATTTTGTATCTTAATCGAAATGCCGGCTTTTAAGTTTTTTTTAAATTGAAATAAAAAAGAGAAAAATAAGAGAAACGAAATCATATTCGTCTCCATTTGGATTCATCATAATTGAAAATCGATATAAATAAATTTATGGATTTTTAATTATTAAGATTTTTATCCAGAACACTCACATTTTCTGTTTCAAATTCAAAACAAATATGTTATTGTAAGTAACTAGCATAAATAGCTAAGAAAAGTGTAATAAATTTGTTTTTTATTTTTGGAAATCAATAAATTATAATTTTACTGATCATTTTATGTTCTGGTTCATTTACTTAATTCCACGCTGTCATTCAATGCTCCTTATTCCAGAGTTCATAACAATAATCACAACTTATTCACGTGCAACAGTGCCATAATGAAATTTGTTGATGATAAAGAATATTTTTTTTTATTTGATTAACTTGATGTTGCTATTTTGTTTATTTAAAATAGATTATATATTGTTTCGTACCAAAAATTTAAACCATTGAATTCTAATGATGAGTTTAAACATTGACGAAATTCTAGTCGACGTAGTAAGTGAGAATAAGTGAATGAAAAAAAAGGAGACAGCAAATGTTAACAGACAATTTTATCTTTTCTAAGGATCTTTTATCGCAACATTTTCTACATGGCTGGAGTTAATGGAATTATTTACTGAATATATTTTTCCATTACATGTATATGATTATCATTTTATTTTAAATTCAAGATCAAACTTTTTCCTTACTATTCTAAAGATAATAATTTTTTGTATAAAAATTCTGTCAAAGTGATAAAAATTCAATGCTTATTTAAAATTTAAGAAGAATGCCTTTGTTTTGAAGAAAAACGAAAGATTATATTTTAATAATGTTAAATCAAACAAAACAGGTATGTGTTCACTTTAACAAGAAAGCATAAAACAATTGAAAGGAACAAACAGTTATACTAATTGCATAATATTTATTCGCATGCACTTTGTAGCCTTTCTGAATTGCAACAGAAAATTTGTTGATACAAAGAAATCACTGATTTCAATTTTAAGATATGTATATTATATATTCTTTCAAAATAAGAAAATATTTCCATTGAATTGTTACTCATTCTTTAAGGTAAAATCGGAACAAAAAAGAATCGAAATTTTATTTCGGAGGATTTTGTACATATCTCCTTTTTTAAAACGAGAAAAAAGAGAAGGTCATAATATTTTTTATTCATACATCGCGTTAATCATTGCTTTACAATCTACTTAAGTATGCTTTTTGCCTTTATTACCAACCTCCGACTTCTTCCATCCATTAATGTTTTATCTTTTCTTTTTCCATCCATTTCGTTAGAGCTAAGAAACCGGAGAGATAAATTTTTAATTAAGATAACTAAAATGTGATAAGTGCATTAATGTCTGCTATTAACGATATATCATTTTCAAGCGAACTTTGTTGTGTATGATTCTTCCTTGTCTTTTTGTGTGCGTATATGTCTAAGAGTCTTAAAATATTAAAGTCTCTCAATACTTTCAAGAATTTAAATTAGATTTTTTACTGCTGATAGAAACACTTGATTTCTGATTGTGCTTAAATTTAATAGCTTCTCTCAGTTTCCAGGTATGATAACTGTTCATGCTTTCAAAATGTTTATGATTTTACCAATTTACTTATTTTGTCTATTATCTATTAAGTAATTGTAACGCAGTGATGATTTGAGTCCTTTAACAGTATTTGATACTTTTTCATACTGTCAAATTACTTGATTTTTTTATATTTTGTTACATCGTGTTTTGATATTCTCTCCTTAGTATTATTATTGTTTGTATCCTGAGTTCTTATCAGTTCGTACCACATTGACGAATATAAATTACACTTGACATTATCTATCTTTGACTCATCCATTTTATGTATTTTTTGTATCATCATCCATGAAAGAGGATTTTACTAACAGTTCTTATTCTAATCTTGTTTTTTTTTTTTTTTTTTTGTTATAAATGTTTCTTCCTTTGCTTTTTTTTCTTGTTCTTGTAACGGCAGAGTTATTAAAATAACGATATTTTTGTCTCCACATAAGAGCATTATTCCATGAAATAAATACTTCATATTTAAGATTGTACTAATTCTACAAGTAACAATTAAAATTCAAAAAAAAAATTAGCATCTATATAGCACTTTTTCTTGGATAGGACAAAAATTTTTAGTATAAGACAAAATTTAAAATAATAAACGCTTCCTGATTCATGAATGTTTGTATTTGACTGAGCATATTTTAAAATTGAGGGACATACAAGTTATTGTAGAAATTTTAATAGTTCAACGATAAATTTTGCACGACTTTTTTCGAACATCTAAAACGTGATGTCTCTTTTTGATTGTAAGCGAAACAACAAAATATTGCGATAAAAATTATAACATTAATGTGTATTGAGGTTTTTTTTAAAGAGTTAATTAACACAGTTTCAGTCTTATCGATAATTCGAACATTTTTTGATTCTACTTCCCAGACAGACAAAATCACTTAATGAAAGTTCCTTATTAACTTTTATTTTTCATTCTTACATTCGATTTAAACCTGTCGTGGTTATTACAAAATATATTCAGTTTTGTTCCGCCTTAAACCAATGAATTAAACGAAGGATAATAATTACTATCGGTCCAATATGCTCAACTGGCATGGCAAGAAGATCGCAAATTTGATATTTATAACGGAATTCCCTAGAGAAGCTTTAAAAATGTCATTATTTTATATTGATTATTAATAACAAATTAATAGCAAGTTGTCAAGCATTTTTTTAAAACAAATTTAGATAATTTGTGAATTATTTCCTATATGATTTTTTTGTGATGAAAATAATTCTTATTTGCTGGGAAGGTTAAAAATTATACTAATACAAAAAAATACCAAGAACAGTTTTTTTTGCCTCACATGTCGACAAGACTTGTTTCGTGACAAAATATTACTCATGGTAAAGTTGTACGAGTAAACATTTTGTAAAATGTTAAAGAAAAAAAATTAGTCACAAACTTCTTGTATTGTTCTTTTCCATTATCAATATAAATTAACTGCTGACTGCTTATCTACTGAATAAAAAAATTTAAAATGACAAAGAAAAACTTTAATTCCATTTTCACTATCGAGCAATTTAAATAGTTTTACTTTTTGTTCTTTACACAAAGCACTTATAAACTAAGACAATGGACTTCCAGAAAAATGTTTTTTGATTACTTATGTCAATTTATGTGACATGGTATAAATTTTTGTTAATTTATATATTTTTATAAATTGATCAATGAATTTTTTTAAAATGTAATTAGAAAACTATCAATTAAATGGTTAGAAAGAAAAATTAAGATGAAAAAGGTTTACATCTTCTTTCTGTGTATCTCATTTCAAACACGTGTTTTTTGTTGAGAACATTTCTCATTGCCTTTAATTTATTTCTCATTCTCTCTCACATTATTCTCGTTATTTCGAAGTTTCGAAAATGTGGTGCAGAGAAAATTCTCAGTCGGTTGTTTTTTAGTTGCGTGGAAATTGTTGAATGGAGTAGTCTTATAGCAAGAATATTACAAAAGACGTACTAATATAAAATTAAAAATATTTCGTTCATGAATAAAAGGTGCTCAATATAAATTAAAAAAATGAATGCATAAAATAATAAACAAATAGAAGTTGAAAAGTGTTACAATTTCAAAAAGCAGAAATTTATGCTCAAGTGCATAATATGTCAAAAAAATAAAATTAGTGATTGAATAATGTGAAATTAAAATTTGTAAAAAATATAATTACTATACAAATTTGTATTAAACAATATTTAGACATAAAGTGATATTATTTGATGGTTCAGCAAAAACTGATCAAAATTGAATGAACCCAGTAAAGCGGAATATTTTAAACTTCAATTACATTATGTCTAGAAGAAAGCAGTCTAATCCGAAACCTCTTTTAAAAAGTATGTATAGATAACAATTAAATATGATTTAAATGTTTTTTTTTAATATAATTATTAACTTATTCGATTAGAAAAGCAAGAAAATATATTAAACTAAGTATTTGACAATTCATTTTAAAAAATTACTACACGAAACGACAATTCTTATCGCTTTTAGTGATGCCATCGAATTGATAGCACCAACAAAATACGGACACATTAATTTAATTTTCGTTGCTATCATAGCGTAGAAAAGTGTTTTCTTAAAACTTAAATTTCTTATCAATAAATATATTTATACAAAAAAAAAATTAGAAAATTTGAAGTGTTTGAAAGCTTTACTTTTAATAAAATTATGATATTAAAAAAAAAACATTTTATATCAATAATCCAGAATATGTTTCAAAAAAATCCTAAATGTTCTTCATTCTTTTTTAAGCTTTTATACAACTTAAATTTTAAATCATAATGTTTATGAGAAGTTCGATTAAGATTAGAAGATAAATGATAGAAGAAGCATTAATGTATATACTCAAAACATTTATTTATAACAAAATAGAAATTTGGAATCCTTTTTCTGTTCATCCAAATCGAGTTTCTGGGATCATAAAGATAAGCATATACATGTAATGGAAAAATATATTCAGTAAATAATTCCATTAACTCCAGCCATGTAGAAAATGTTGCGATAAAAGATCCTTAGAAAAGATAAAATTGTCTGTTAACATTTGCTGTCTCCTTTTTTTCATTCACTTATTCTCACTTACTACGTCGACTAGAATTTCGTCAATGTTTAAACTCATCATTAGAATTCAATGGTTTAAATTTTTGGTATGAAACAATATATAATCTATTTTAAATAAACAAAATAGCAACATCAAGTTAATCAAATAAAAAAAAATATTCTTTATCATCAACAAATTTCATTATGACACTGTTGCACGTGAATAAGTTGTGATTATTGTTATGAACTCTGGAATAAGGAGCATTGAATGACAGCGTGGAATTAAGTAAATGAACCAGAACATAAAATGATCAGTAAAATGATAATTTATTGATTTCCAAAAATAAAAAACAAATTTATTTCACCTTTCTTAGCTATTTATGCTAGTTACTTACAATAACATATTTGTTTTGAATTTGAAACTGAAAATGTGAGTGTTCTGGATAAAAATCTTAATAATTAAAAATCCATAAATTTATTTATATCGATTTTTAATTATGATGAATCCAAATAGAGACGAATATGATTTCGTTTCTCTTATTTTTCTCTTTTTTATTTCAATTTAAAAAAAACTTAAAAGCCGGCATTTCGATTAAGATACAAAATCAGTCTTGATGGGTTGTTGGACTCAAAATAAAATCGTTCATCTCATTCCCCCGCTCTCTCTTAATGGAACTGATAAGGAACATTTTTCTTACTTAACGCCAGAAAGAATTCAAATGAATTTTTCAGAAGAATCTTATCTCGCACACCAGCACATGAGATTAAGAATTAAGCAAATGGAAGAAGGGAAAATCAAATGATGATGCACAAAGAGAAGGTTTTTTATAACTTACTTGTTCACTCATTTGATGGTTTAAGAGTTTCGTCATACATAAAGTTTATTGGAAAGAGATGAAAAAAGGAAAAAAACATAAGATAGAATAAAAATTTAATCCAAAAATATATACTTACGTTCAATACAAAGCAGGCAGCAGAATGTGAATTCAATATCTCTAAATCGGTAATGGAAATAGAGACAGTAAGACTGGCAGAGCTCAAAAGAGATAACAAAAAAGGCGCGTATTAAGTGACTAACAATATTGACCACATGATAACGTAAAAAAGCTTATATGCCGATTCAATGTCGACCCTGTTGAGAGAGTTTTTCATTTTAACATTTTTTAGTATTAAACTGTGAATAACCAATAAATAAACTTATCTACATTCTGTTCTCAGTGCGATATTTCTGGCTGGAATCCATTACAATAAATGAATTTACGATAAATTTATTATTTATTTACTTATTCGTTTTTATTTTGTCGATTGGTTGCTCAATAGCTTGCAAACAAACAAGAAGAGAGAAGCTAAAAACCAGACATCATTGAATTTTTCATTATATCACAACAAGATATTATTAATGAATGGTTTTAGATTGATATGAATATTATACTTTAAAATCTCAATTAAAGATTGAATAAACCAATAATAATGCTTCAAAATATGGCAACATAGCTATTTGTGAATTATCTTGCTGACTCATTTTCAAATTCTTTAACCTTACATCGTAGTATACCTAAATTGAAGTATCTGTACTAAGCTAAACAAGAAACTTTTACAAAAGAATGGGGAATCAACATTTTCATATCTTGTCAGTTGAATCAAGTCATCTCTCCATCTATAATATAAAATTTATTCCAAGCCGATCTCACTTGATAGATAAGCCACACAAAAATACTCAGAATCGCATTTTATCAATTCATTTCAATCTCAAAATGAAAAATTCTCATTTATTTCTCGTTTTTTCGATAAAAATATCGAGATAAGAGCGGCAAGCAGAAATTGTATAAGCGACGAGAGATCGAAACTCTTGATAAGGAAAAAAAACACCAACAACAATAACAACGAAATGAAACGAAACGAAAATTCTTGTGGAGTTGTATAAAGCACACACAAGCACAATTTCTAGATCGATGTTATCTTGCAATACATATCCAGGGTCATTTCCATTAAAAGTAGAGCTCTCTAGTGGTAATTTAGATAAAAGAAATATACAACAGACACTTTGGTATAATATAAATTTGGGTATATGCTGATAGTAAAAATATTTCATAAATAAATGAATTAAATCATATGGTATGGATGAATAGATAGATAGATAAATTCCTAGATGAAGAATCTTTTAACTTTATAAGGTTTGACTTTTAGAAATGTTTTTTTTTTGTTTTATCGCTAAATTTAGAAGAACAGATGAATTTCAAAAAAAAAATAAAAATAAAATTATTTAAGAAATTTTTTATTTCAAACAATCGAATGGAATAGTGGCATCAATAACAAAAATTATGTGAAGAGATAACAGAATTTTCATTGATACATACATCGAAATCATCGTCAATATTATCAATAAATGGAAATCTTTTAATACAAATATTCGACAATCAATCAAGTGGCGATGGAAATGTTGACTGTATGTACGTATTGATATTTCATAGACAAGGCAGTTGCAACGATGGCGCTGAATCAAGATAACAAAAACAAAATTCATTATTCAGCACTATCTATACTGTCAGTCTACCCACAATTCTCCCTTGCTTCATACATACAAACAATATATTCATATTATAGTGTTGTTGTATAATTTCTGGATGGAGGAAGTGAGTGAGGGTGTACCAGATACTGATAGCGCAAAAATTCTTATCGCACTAAAAGAATGCTTTTGTTGAATGTATACAGAGAAATATAGCAACAATACTGAGGGAACATACATTTTGCTTTCGGAATTATAAATGGGAATGTCTGATAAGCAAGCAATGCATGATAACAGAGTTGCAAAGGAAGGAAAGACAAACAGTTTACAAGAGAACAAACTGCAGATATAATTTTTTTAAAAATTATTCGAAATATTTAAAAAATATTTAAAAATCTAGCAAATTAAAAACGCATTTCTTAATTTTTATTTTACCTCTTTGATTTCTTATCTTTCATATTTTAGCGCTTTTTTTGAAAACTTTTTTTTATAAAAGGGAGCTTGTATAATGCATTTTGTTGGGCTGCTCGGCATGGCAAGGTTCTTTTCTTCATTTTATTCTGCTATTAGGTATTTAGAAGCTTAAAACATATAATTTGAAATGTTTAAAACCGTTTATTTATGAATTCTTAATTAACAAAGTATTTTTTAAATACTCTGTTTTTTTCGTTATAAGCTAGTAGCTTAGTAGATTAAAAAAGTGATTTTTTTGCCTCACTAGTAGCTTAGTAACGAGGAGTAGCTTATAACGAAAAAACAGGATAAGAATTTACTAGCGTTTATGCTTATCACATACTGATCGCTGTGACTAAAATGCGCTGAAGTGCCTCGTGCAATAACACGAGGACTTTTGAAATTTTTATTAAATAAAACCTTCAATTAATTCATAATTCTGCAGATTACCGCATAGGTAAACTAGAAGTAAGTTAAAATGAAATGATATTTGTCCACTTTAATAAATGCCTCGTTTATGAGGACTGCCTTTTCAAATATATAAGCTATATTTTCTTTGCTTATGAAATGAAGACCATAATATGATTTCACACTTTCATGGATCAAAATATAATCGCTTTTATCGCGATAAAAAGAGTATTTTTATTGGTTTCATGTTGTAGTCCTTATTCAATATTATGGGTGTTTCAAGTATTAACAATTTTTATATTTTAACTTATCTTTTCTCACTTCATTCTCCATTTGCGCTTATATTTTCTGATTCTCACAATTCGATGTTTTTCGTGCACTTTGCACAACTAGACTGAAATTTATTGCATCAAATATGAGATTTCACACCAGCGTTTCTTTCTTTTCCTTATTTCGTTTTGTATTAGCCTGCAGAAATACACAAACGGCAAATTGCATTTTGTTTTTCACGCGAAGTAGGCACTTTCCTTAGCCGGCTTTATTTTTTACTGTGAATACATATATACGAATCGAGAAATTTATGCGATTGAAAAAATTGATACATGCTATTTTGATGTCTTTCATTATTGGCAACTTCTATAAATTATGGTGAAACAAGAGCAGCATTAAGATGAACAAGCAAAGATAAAATGGTGCACATTCTTTTGAACAAAAATTGAACTTTGACTTGAACAATTTGCTCTCAAATATATTTCACTAGTTTCTTCACTTATACTTTATTAAATCTTAATGGCATATCATATCATAAACTTGTAACTTTTCTTCCATATATTATTATGGATTTAATGTATCAATGTAAAAACTTGACAGAAATTGAAATAAACATTAATAAATAGAAACAAAGTTTCATATTTAACAAGACCTTCCGCT